CTATATATAATATATAAATATATAATTATTTCCTGTTTGGCACCTCATAATATATATATATATATATATATATAAAATAGTTATGTTTTTTTTGCCCTAAATAAGAAAGTTACAACAGATTGAAGCAGACAATTGATTACAGCATTATACATTAAAGAACATTAAAGATTGCTTAAAAATAAAATAAATGAAAGAAATAAGTAAAAATACAAAAAAAAAGTTATCTATCTATTTTGCAAGTTTTTTTTCTCACCTTATAAGTCTGAATATATAAATGTAAATTGTAAATATATAGAAGCAAATCTGAATATGTAGTTATAAGTCTGAATATATAAATGTAAATCTGAATATATAGTTATAATTCTGAATATATAAATGTAAATCTGAATATATAGTTATAATTCTGAATATATAAATAAATCTGAATATATAGTTATAAGTCTGAATATATAGAAGCAAATCTGAATATATACTTATAAGTCTGAATATATAAATGTAAATTGTAAATATATAGAAGCAAATCTGAATATGTAGTTATAAGTCTGAATATATAAATGTAAATCTGAATATATAGTTATAATTCTGAATATATAAATGTAAATCTAAAGTGAATGAAAGAAATAAGTAAAAATACAAAAAAAAAGTTATCTATTTTGCAAGTTTTTTTTCTCACTTAAAGTTTTTTTTGAAGGATATGTCAGACAACAGTGTCAGTGAAGAGCTTGAGATGAAATAAAGGACCAACTCCTTGGGGGACCTTCACAAGAAGAAACGCAAAGTGAGACATTACACCAATTAAAAACAATCTCTTAATCATAACACGATTCTTAGATTCAAGATTCTTATTCTGAACCTATCCTGATCGAACTGATTTTGGCAAAGGCATTCAGTCACACAGATTTGGAGAGCTACATTCACTCTTAAAAATATATTTGTATTGGTATCTATGGTTCCATGAAGAACCTTTAACATCCAAGGAATCTTTGCATTCCACACAAGGTTCTTTATAGTGAAAAAAAGTTAACTTTTAAGAACTGATCACTGAAAGTTTTTTGAGGGGAATCAAACATTCTTTCTATGTCATCAAACACGTTTCTTCTATGTCATCGCTGTGAAAAACTTGTTGTGGAACCTTTACCTTTAAGAGAGTTCCATATCTGCAAGATCTGGTGAAGACAGAAATATCTAAGTGGAGTTCAGGATCAAATTCCATCAATGTCAGAAATTCAAATTTGCATTACTGCATAAATAAATACATGCTGTACCTTTTTTTACACTATTTGTTTGCTTTTTGCAGCGTTTCCTGATCCCAAAGGGATGGAGTGTTTTATACAGCGTCAGTGAAATGCATGAGACTGATCCCATTTACCATTTGATCCTGACCGCTTTGAAACGAGAGCAAACCAGGATGTTTCAGCATCCCATTTGGAGGTGAAATGAGTGGCCAAGATCATCATGAACAGTCTTGGATGTTGAACTGCTCACCAGCTCAGAATGGAAACTGGTTCCCAAGACAATCCCAAAGACGCAGTACCTGTTGTTCACCCTGCCAGTGGACTCCATGTTCATTTCCCATCCTCTAGCCTTGCAGATAAGATTCATTATTCATATTTTCAGACCTGTTTAGTTTGATTTTTTTTTCAGAGTGCACTTAGAAACAAATTACACTTGAATGCTCTGTATGAATACAGTACCAAGGAGGAAATTATTTTAACATTCAAATAAAATGCAGCTTTACTGTTGCATTGGCTGCTATGTATTTTAGCATATGATTATTGAATTTCTTTGCATTTGGAATTTGTAGGTATTTGAGGCATTACAGTTATGTTTGAAACTAGTGCCTATAAATATAATAGTTCAGCAAACTGCCTTCCTTTAAATCTAGCTTCCACTAATGTAAAAAAAATGTAAAAATTAAAAAAAAAATGTAAATGTGTCTTCACTATTCTTTCAAACAAACCATGTTTTAAACTGCCTTCCTTTAAATCTAGCTTCCACTAATGTAAAAAAAATGTAAAAATTAAAAAAAAAATGTAAATGTGTCTTCACTATTCTTTCAAACAAACCATGTTTTAATTTAAGTTTTTTTTTTTTTTTTTTTTGTAATTTCTTCCTGTGTCCTCTGTCTTTTATTTACCAGTTTTTTTAATGACATCATCCTCCCAAAATGATTTTTTTGATGGAAATGTAACAGCTTAAATATCATTAAGAGCTTGTGACAAAATTCAGCTTCAGAATGCCTTCAGAAGATACATATAAGTGAATATAAAGTAAATAAAAGCACCAGTAGTTACAGCATTAAAGAAGTCATTATTTTATTGAAATACGTCTCCTTTTTTAATACAAAAGGAGCTAGAGTTCAAAAGCTAGCCTACTGCAAAACCGAAATTAGCTACCATATAAACTCTTTTCACCCATTAGCGACACAGGAACATTTTATATATTCTGCTATCTGATCGTTTTGTTTTGTTTGGCAAGGAAAGAGCCTTTAATAGCAGCAGTATTTTTAAATGCAAATAAAAGACGGAATGAGGCTCCAGAGGCTGGCGGTTATATAGCTTAAAGTCAGTCTTCAGTCTGACCCTTTAGTGAACTGTTTGGCTGTGCTCTCATGACCCCCTCCTGCGGTGCTCACGGTTCAAACTGCGTTCGCGGGTCTATATGTCATGTAAACTCATAAATCAAAGACAAATTCACTACCTATAGCTGTGCCACGTGTCACTAATGCGAGTCATTTTATGCGAGTAAACAACAACAGCAACCAGTAGCTCCGGCATCCAAGGTAAGATGCGCGGGTTGGGCTATATCATTTCTGAAATAGCTGCTGACAATGAATAATTTGATATGATCACAGGGTATATAAAGTAATTTACCCAGAGGGTAGAGACATTTTTATATATGCTAATCGAAAACGATTCCTTTTCATCATAAGTGCGAATTATGTGGTGATGGGGGGCGGTCTGACGCCCCTAATTAGGCTAAGGCTTGGTCCTCAAGTACTTTTTCCGTATAATTATATGTAACGTACATTTTCAAACATAAAAAGTTAGATTACAAGTAAGGGCGCACTAAATAGAGGCTTGCGAACGAGTCACGTTCGCCTGAGGAGGTAACAATAACAACAATACGCTGCTTGAGTGCTTCTGTTCCGTTCTGAACTCGACAAAACTGCGTTATTTGTCTCTTTATTAAACATTTAAACTTACATGTTTATCACAAAAGTGTCTCTCAAATAGGTGGCTGAACAGTGCGCAACAAAAGATCATTTGGGTTTCGCGAAAGCAACCTGCGTCCTGAAAACTGCTGACAAATTCATTTAAAAAGTCGAACAATTTTTGAAATCATAAAGCTTGCAGACTACTTGCTTCTTCCTTGTAGCCTATATCTAAATATAGGCAGATGATGAGGGTGAAACTGTGATAAAAGCGACGATCTACATCCGAGGCTCCAATTAAAACTCTCTCTCGCACACCAGTGAAAGGCTGTTTATCTCTTGACCCAATTAGAACATTACTGTAAGTGGCTTTAATGATGCCCTTGATTTGATTTTTGTGATGGACAGCGCGGAATAGATGGCAGTGTGGATAATTACTGCTGCTCAGGCTGCGTATCTCGCTATTTGATGGGCAGTGAACTTGGCGAGCTTTTCGCCCAGAGTTCACAGAGATGTCAGGGTCCGCGCTGCAGGGTCACCAGCGGGTCACCAGAGCCCGGGAACGAGCACTGAGACCAGCACAAACACAGGGCTGGATATTACATCTCATACGTGCCATGTACGGTCAGCGATGACTCGCCAAAATCGCTAAATAAACATCGATGTGAGAA